TCTCTGTAAAAAAATCAGTAAGGTATATTTTATTTATATATATATATATATATATATATATATACACACACACACACACACACACACATATATATACACATACACACACACACACACACACACACACATATATTTTTTTTAAGTTCTGGAGAATGGCTGATAATAATGTGAATATACTTAACACTCCTGAAGTGTAGACTTAAAAATGGGCTAGCCCTCGCTGATTTGGCTCAGTGGATGGAGCGTTGGTCCATGGACTGAATAGTCCTGGGTTCGATTCCGGTCAAGGGCACATAACTCAGTTGCAGAGTTGCAGGCTTGATCCCGTGAGGGAAGTGACCAATCGATGTGTCTCTCTCACACTGATGTTTCTCTCTCTTTGTCTTTTCAACTCTCTCTCTCTAAAAAAATAAATTAAAAAAAATTAAAAATTGCTCTAGATGGTCAATTGTAAAACAAATGTATGCTATCTGTATTTTACCACAATTAACACCCCCCTTCCCCCCAGCAACAACCTTAAGCTCTTTCCCCCTTGGAGACCTTCTCCTCCTATAATAAGAATTACATGGTGGAGTAAGAGAATCAGAGGAAGGACCACTACCTTATGCAGTGAACAGTATTTCAAATAGGAGATGGGCGTGTTATAGGACGGCAAGTCTGAGAGTTTGGGAGAGACAGGGTTTAGGAAGCCACCTCGGTAAGGGTGACTTCAGATCTCCCTGGGAGGAGGGAAGGCGGGGCTTCCGTGGAAGAAGGGAAGCCAGCCCAGCAACTGCACTGCTCACCAGGGAGGGGGAGGGGGCAGCAGAAACCACAACTGCAGGTGCCCAGACCAGGGCCCCTGCTCCTCACCCCGAAGGAGTCACCTGGGGATCGAGGCAGCAGGAGGCATTTTCAGGAGGGAATGTGCTCTGGAGGCCCTGTATGCTCTCCCCAGGCAGATGGAAGCTAACCTATCCTTAGGGAGGCCTACTTGGGGAGGTGGCTAGTTTTCTCGGTCCCCATCTTACTGGAGTTTTTAGATAAGAGCCTGGACTACCCACAGTGAGCTTCTAAGGTGCTGCAGGTGCCATGTGACTGGATCCACGTGACCCACGGGTCCTGACCTGTGTGCCAACCACACACTAGCCCTGGGCAGAGTGGGGAGCAGGGGCAAGGACTGGCCCTCCAGTCCGTGGGACAGTGTCTGGGAGTCGGCAGGCCCTCTCCTGGAGGAGAGCGTGAGGCCCACCTGGCCAGCGGCTGCAAATGCCAGAAGCCAGACTGGAAAGGAACACACAGAGCAAGCCCAGCTCCCAGCCCCGTGGCTTATAAAGGGAAACAAGATCAAATCATCCTCCATCAGGATGACTCATGCGGACTGCAGGCGCGTGCCAGAGACGGGACACGTCTGACATCATTCCCAGGAAAAAGGGGGGTGGGAGGGCGTCCTGTCTTCTCAGGGTCCTCAGTCACTCCACCACTCAGAGTTCCTCATCTGGAGATGGGCGCTGTGAACGTGTCCATCTTATTGGCGAGGCTCCAGCTAGCCTGACTCCTGCAAGGTTCTGGGGAGACCAACCAAGACTTTCTCTGAGGGCAGCTCAATGCCCAGCGCCTCCAGAAGCTCGAGGGTCACCTGAGCAGGTGTGAAGCCGGCCAAAGCACCAGGAACAGGTGCTTGTGAATGCTGGATCCTACAGTAAAACGTCCTTATTTTACGTGAGGAGCGAGTACTGTGAATGTCGATGATCAGCCGTGTACAAACAAGAGTTGTTCTCACAACACAGGCATCTCTGCCTTTTCTCCTAGAGTTGTTTATTTTCAGAATACTGACTTAGGAAAGGATTGTTTTTGTTAGTTTTGCATCACCAATGAAGTGGATTCTCAGTTTGATATGAAACCTCCTGACATCAGCACTCTGGTGGCAATGCTGAGTTCGAACTGGACTCCATTGATGTGAAAAGAACCCCAAACATCAACAACATGTAGGATCTAAGGCATCCTGTAGCCGGAATGGAAATGAAGGGTCTTGCAAGAAGGAAAGTCAGGGAGAAAGGTCAGGTCACAGCTGTTTTTGATTCGGGCAACACCACGCCTCCTCGGGAAGAGGCCCAGGACAGCTCTCCTGACCAGGGCGCTGGGGAGACCTGGGCTCGCGGGGGGCCGTGACCCGATTCTCACAGGTGCACTTAGGCATCCCACGGCACACACCTTTGTGAGCGGGAACGCAAGCCGTGCCCTCACGGCTGCTCCGTGACAGGGAAGATGAATGGGCGGCGACGCTGTGCTGAGGCGCCCCGAGGTCCGAGCTCTTTCTCATTATCCCTCCACGTTTCCATCAAGGTGCTCCCTGGGGCTCGTAGTTAAGTCCACAGAAGAGGCTGCCCTTCGCCGGCCCCACTGGGACCCAGCCAAGTGTCACAAAACCACGGCACAGTCATACGTATCCCCCAGGGAAGTCGGGCACCCGGGGCTGTTCTAGGTCTGCGGGAGACAAACTTCCCGGAGACGCAAAAACAGACGCCACGGAGGCGCTGAGGAACTCTTGCTTTTCGATACTCTGGCCTGACTTAAATGTTTCGGGTTGTCTTTGCAAAATCCCAAGTGGAGCTGAGGGAGCAGGTGAGCTGGTGGGTCCTAACGGGAGGGTGGCCAACCTGTCCCAGGCAGCCCGGGACTCAGCACCCAAGTCCCGTGGCCTAGGCAGCCCCGGGGCACCCTGCCTGGAGCGTCTTCATTATTTTGGGTGAGCTTTCCACCTGCCATCTAAACTGGGGGATAAGCTTTACTTCACGTAACATCAGCATTTTGAGAGGGGGGGGGAGGGAGACGAACCTAGTGAACTGGGATTTTCTGGTAAGTCTTCGTCTGACCACTGCACCCTGTGGCCAAAGTGGGCACCCACTGTGGGAACCACTAACCTTGAGGACAGCGGGGTTGAAAGCCACTGGCACAGCTGCCACCTATGCCGTGTCGCCTCCTCTCTGCCCACAATGCAGGAGGTGGAAGCAGAATCGGTGAAGGGCGACAACCAAGGCTATCCCCTCTCCCCACTTCCCAGTGACTCCCATCATTGTGGACTCAGCCGGCCCCTCAGGCAGTTCTGTGCCTGCGTCTGTGCCTTCAGGCCCGGGACCCTGGCGTGAACTGGATTGCACTCTGAAATGACGTGGCTCCTGCTTGCCATGTGATTATGTAACGAAGCCCCACGGTGCTCCTTTGCCATATTCCAATAATATCTGTGCACACGTATAAAAAGCAAGGATGGGCCTGGCAAACACCGGGTGGCACAAGACAAAGACGGCGCGGAGGGATTCTGAGGGACTGCTGGTGCTTACATAAGCCAGAGGCTGGGATGAAAAGCACGGAGGCGCTGCCCTCCCACCGGCGTGTTCTGTACACACAGCTGTTGCCCCTTTTGTCCTTGGCAGGAAGCGGCCAAGGTCCCTGTGGCCAGGCCTGGGCTTTAGCGGGTGACAGCGAGGGGCCTGGAAATGCATCACCACTCAGATCTCATCTTTTACTGCCCAGGGAGGCCAGCAAGAAGAATGTTTTGGTTACACTTCTCTCTCCAAATGGCAGAGAGCAACCTGGCCAACAATCAGACCAGTGGTTCTCAACCTTTCTAATGCTGCGACCCTTTAATATAGTTCCTCATGTTGTGATGACCCCGAACCATGAAATTATTTTCATTGCTACTTCATAACTGTAATTTTGCTACTGTTATGAACTGTAATGTAAATATCTATGTTTTGGTTCTCAACCTGTGGTTCCTCAATCTGTTTATTTTCAGCTTCTTATCAATAACTGAAATTTTTTAAAGTGTTTACCTTTTTAAATGAAAAGCTTAACACAGTGATGCAATCAATTGACCAGCTAACACTGTATATTAGAATCTACACATTTATCTGTATCAAGACAGATGCACATACAAGGTTCATGGAATGTGCTGCTAGGGGACTAACACCCCATCTTCTGCCTTTATCACGAGTGTCCAAAGAAACTCAATGTGGGTAGAATGTGTGTATTTCCCCCCAATAAGATTACTTCTGTTTCTCATCTCATATAAATCACCAATAGAACAGATTTTATTAACACGGAGAGAGAAGCTTCTCTTGCCTTAGGAACTGGTATGTGTTCTTATTTTATTGGTTAATCCTCACCCGAGGATATTTTTCCATTGTTTTTTTTTAGAGAGAGTGGAAGGGAGGGGGGGGGGGGAGAAACATCTATTGGTTGCTTCCTGCATGCGCTCCAAGGGTACGGGAATCAATCCTGCAACCAAGGCACATGCCCTTGACCAGAGTGGAACCCAAGACCTTTCAGTCCACAGGTCGATACTCCAACCACTGAGCAAAACCAGCTAGGGCGTGTATTCTTTTTTTTTTTTTTAATATATTTTATTGATTTTTTACAGAGAGGAAGAGAAAGAGATAGAGAGTTAGAAACGTCGATGAAAGAGAAACATTATCGACCAGCTGCCTCCTGCACACCCCCCCCTGGGGATGTGCCCGCAACCAATGTACATGCCCTTGACTGGAATCGAACCTGGGACTTTTTAGTCCGCAGACCGATGCTCTACCACTGAGCCAAACCAGTTTCGGCTAGGGCATGTATTCTTATTTGACAATAAAAACTGAGTCACAGATTGCGTCTAACTTATTGTGTCCTCAGCTGCTCAGAGCAAACCCTAGGTTCCCATGCACGTGTACCCTTCTTCTTGGTTCTCAGAGAAATAGTCTCTTCCCCCTTCCTCTTTGACTGACTGATGCCAGTCTTTGTACTCTCATCTGTGCCTTCTACTGAAATTCTTCATCGAATTAATTAGAGAGCCACAGATGGGCCGTCAGGGAGAGGAAGAGAGAGACGTGTGCGTGGTATGACATCATGAGAGACATTATTCATCTCGTGGTGGAGCAGGACCAGAGCCAACTTCAATTCAGAGGCCAGGGCTTGACTGCTGCGAACACCTCCCACCCCCATGCGCAGTGCCCACGCTGAGGTGGGCTGATACTCACGTGCAGACTGGGGTGATAGGTCAGCACGCCATTGTCGCACAGGGTGACATACTTCTTCTTCCACTCTTTGTTCAACGATTTGCCGCTTCGCTTCAGCAACATGCCCTGGGAGGAACAGGGAGCCAAATATAAATTAATAAGGTCTTATGTGGACTTTAAGACATTTTAAACTTTCATTTTAACTGCCATCTTGAAAGGAAAAAATTACACTTATTTGGTTTTCTCCTCTGTTACATACATCGCATAGATTCAGCCAGATTCCTTTGTGTGGATGTGCCTGTCGAACTTGACATGGTGACACTGACGCTAAAAGACGTGACACAAACCGCTGTGACGGGCTACAGTTACCTTTCTTATTATAATCCCACAGGAATGCATTCAGGAGTATTTTACAAGAGGACACCTAAATTCTCTTTTCTGCAAATGAGACGTTAATCGTATTCTTACCTTACCATATTGGCAAATGAGAACATTTTATTTTGAATTTATTAAAAATGAAATTCCATTTGCAAACGCAGCGACAGCATTTAACAGATGAATCGTGTGTAATTTACTTGAACCCATTTCTAACAGAATCATATTAGGGGCCCTTTAAAAAGCATTCAAACTTGGACACTCCCACACTGAAGCACGTTTACTCCAATTTTCCTTCGATGACTGATGAGAATTGATTCTTGTTTTAACTGCCAATTTCCAGCAAAGCTTTGCCCTTCTCTGGGTTAGGAAGTCCAATGGCCAGCACCGACCTCTGCCGGGCCCACGACCTTGACTTCTCACGTTCTTTCCCTTTGGGGTTCATGACTGCCTTGCTCAGGCAATGTCAGCTTGAGCTTCCATCTCTGGAGCCTCCTACCTCCTGTTCACTGACATTGAGGAGAACTGAAGGCCCTCCTTCACTGCCCATGTATGAGCTCACAGGATCATAATTCTGACTGAGAAAGCACTAATGCTCGTTAACTCACCAGATGGAGGCTGAAGGGACGCTGTGGGTCAAGAAACAGGGTTCAACACCCTGAAGAAGCAGAGGTGCCCTTGAGTGCCCTTGGAACCTGTACCACCTCCTAATTCTGCTACTCCGGGCAAAAAAATCAAGCTAGTGTCTTCATGTGATAATTAAGTTCAAGTTCCAATTAGTTGCTAGCACTGTGACGATACCTTTTTTTGTTCCAAATGTCACAAATAGAATGGATTGTGAGCTGGTCTGGGACTCTGATCACCATTTAAATATTGTTTCTGGGGGGAAATATCAAAAAGTTGGAAGTACTAACTAATAGTGAACCTTTGGTACATCACTTTTTTGCAAGTTCTTATTTTTAAAAAACAAACATGTGGCAAAACATGGCGCATCCCTTGATTTCCGAGAATCTCAATCACACGTGGCCCCGAGACCAACAAGCGAACAGGCCCCAGGAAACGCTGGCTGCAAACCAAGGGGTGCAATTCCACGGCGTGAACCAGTCAGAGCCCATGGGACGGGACGGTCACACTCGTGATGCGATAATAAATGTGTAGTCACTTCAAATCATTACACTGCTCTCCCAGAGGACTGGGATCTTTAAACTCAGCATCGCTCAGCCTGCCCCGTTTCTGCCGTGGGCTCCATCCTTCCTTGCTCAGGGCAGAGCGAATTCCAACGCTACCAGGGCCCGGGTCTGCGGGGTCACTGGTGGCTGAGAGCCCCTGGGGCTTCAGAAAGCCCTGCCACCCCCACTCCCACTGGAAAAAAATTCGGGCCTCACCCCAGGGCTCCACGTGGAGGCCCGCTGTGGGCGCTGCCCTGAGCCAGCCCCTCACCCACAGCCTCCTCTCCCCAGTGAGGGCTGGAAGGACACACTGCTTACGGGATAAAGAGGAACATTCCAGCCGGGAGGGGATGTGAGCAGGTGACGTCAGAGGGGAACTAAAGCAGGCTGCCTTGTTTTGGTGCCAGGAAAGCACAATGTCTTGGCGAAAGATAGTCCAAATCTTGACAATCTTAAGTAAATTCTATGGCTCCCAATGGAGGGTCGCCTCGATTACATGAACTATTCAAATGCTGCGGAAGTCAGCGGGGCCCAAAGGACAGCCTGGCACCCAGGAGCCGTATTCCTGCTGTCCACCCTCAGCCAAGCTGGTTTATACCCAACTTCTTCCCCGTCCCCCCAAAGCCTGTGGAAACTGAGCAACAGCCAGCCTGTCCCCACATCACAGCTGCGCTGAGCCCAGGTGCCAGGTGCCCGCTGGAGCGGTGCTGGACCAGGTCAGAGGCACGCTTCCTTGGATGCCTGAGCGCTAACACCCACTGACATGTTTCTACACAAGCCACGTTCATCCTCACTCCCCATATGCAGCAGGTCAGGGTAACAGAGTGACTTCGGTTCCTCATAACCGACAAGACTGAGCCACATGGTGAAGTCACTGTCAGCTGATGGGCAGCGCCAGGCCCCGCCATCCTGCCTCTCCCTCTACTGCACTGCACTCCTCTCCTCGGAACACAGGACCCCCCAAGGTGCCTGGGATGGGCATTTTACCGACGCGACCACGACAGGGCCTCGCTGCATCAGAAGGAGGCCCCATGCTTCTGTCCTCCTGGACTTACACAGTTTCTCTCCACGTACCAGGAAAATGGAGAACACTAAAACGGCTCATTTTAAACTCTGAAAGGCTACGGAGCTGCCAACCCACCACCAGCCAGAGAATGACGGAGGCCAGGAGGCCCTTTGGCGGAGACACTGCGGGCAGTTCCCTGCGTCCTGTGGAAACGGCCCTTGTGATTCTAAGTCTCTGTGATCTCGTGTGACCCAGGGCAAAACTGCACAGCGGAATGTCACAACACATCCATGGTCTGTCCCTCAGATGCCACTTCAGAACATGTTAACACCCATCTCCTGCTTAAGACCGACCCTGACCAGCCATCACAGTGCAGACGTTAATTATAGTTAATGCTTTAGTTGACTCTCATGTGACTTACACATCTGTTTTTAAAACTTCTAAAATCTCAAAACAAGTTTGGGTTCCTTGTGAGCCAGGGGATGCTCTAAAAGCCTTAAGTATGAGCCTGCTGCAAGCTGATAGTGGACCCGATGGTCATGGCTAGGATTACCCCCATTTTACAGATGAGGCCACTGAGGCACAGAGAGGTTATGTAACTACCGCCAGCATGCACAGCCAGCCTGGTAGCTCCTCTCAAGATGGCTCTCAATGCACCATGCGCTCTGGTATCCGTGCCCTTATATAAAGCATCCCACCCTGACTTGAAAATACCCAGACTCACTTAACTAACAGAACTAGAAGGAGTGATGTTACCTACACGGGGCTGGAACCTACAAAAATCCTGGCAGCTTCCCTCTGGGGAGCTTTGATGGATAAGCCTTGCTGTGCTCTGTCCATAGTCCTGAGCCACCAAATTAAGAGAAACACAGTAGGTCCTCGGGTTACGTAGGAGATCTGTTCCTACAGCGCGATGTAACGCGATTTTCGCCATAAGTCAGAACCCACCTCCATAAGCACCTACGTCACTCATATGGAGCACACACACAGCAGTAATGAAGTGAAACAGTAAAAATATTTAAAAGAAAGGTAACAATTCCTGACCTTTACTTGTGGTAAATAAATAACCAAAAACATAAAGTACATAGTATGTACATACATCCAAATGACAAAACTTAAAAAAAAAAAAAAAAAGGGAGATGGCAACATAACCACAAAAAGACATACGTCTAGTCCGATGTATCCTGAGGACTGCCTGTAATAAAATAACAGTTTTCTCAAATCGGTAAGTTTTGGGGTAGCTCCTAAGGCAACAATAGATATTAAAAAAAAAAAAAAAAAAAAAAAAAGCTAGCTAGCATCCCGTGTTGCTGTAATAAAAATAAAAACCACAGGCTTGGCAGCAGCGCTGGCTGAGGTTGGTGAGGACGTAGCTGCAGTGGGGCTGGAGGCGCGTGAGGAAAGTGCTACCCAAGGCTGGAGACAGAGATAGAGCCGAGTTCTGCTCTGGCTAGTGGAATGGTCCAGACCTGCTGCCTGCGGGGTTGCCCAGCAGCCTGGTGGCTGGCTCTGAGAGCCCCGCCGAGAGTTTCCAAGCAGGACCAGGAAAAATGTTTCCAATGTGAAAACCATGCTGGGCTGAACCATGAGAAAAATCGTCTCTGACCCCCAGCTTCTCCTGCCAGGAGATCTGGCCTCAGAATGAAGATCAAATCCAGGGGATGTCAGTAGATGTGATCTCAGAATACAGACCCTGTCGAAGGTCTGGCAGTCGGACCCGCCGCCCCGTGAGAACGCAGCAGGATTGAAGGCAGGAACTTTTGACCCTTCCAATAGAGAGCTGTGTGTTAGGGATAAGGAGCTGTGGATGGGCTTTTGTCTGATAGAATGGACGGTCATTTGATACAAAGGACACCCACAAGATACGTAAAGGAATTACATGCCGCATAGGACTAAAAGGCACAACGTTCAAAATGAATCTCTTCATTTTGGGCCCTGGACCTAAATGTAGCAAGAAGCAGGCTGAGAAAGCCACAGAGATGTGAAAACCGGCTACACCTTATGGAAAAGGAAGGCCGGCCCAGACAGCAGAGCCCAGGGCGAAGGAGGATGCCAGAGCAGGGTGGGATAGAACATGTGTCCCAGGCTCAGAGGTGCTGTGGGCTGCAGGTCAACTGTTTGTGTCGGCACTGTGTGTGTGTGAGTGTGTGTGTGTACACGTGTGCAAGGTAACTCGGTTCTCAAGCTCCTGGCCTTCAGATGAAAGCATCAGAGCTGAGCAGCCTCATCAACATGTGAACTGATGTAGACAGTGACCCTGAGCTTCCAGTCTCAGCCGGATGCTGGGGTGAGGCTTTGTGAATCTGGAGACGGAAGAAGCCCATCTCCAAAGTTGGCCCTCACAAGCCCACCTCGGGAGTGGTCCCAGGCCCTAACTCCACTTAACCAATGAGATGCGGTGAAGTTATGCGGTGACCACTCTAGCCAAGGCCTTCAGAGGCCTGGCTGCTCCTGCTTCTAGGCCTTGAGAGCCCAGCCGACTTGGAGGAAGGTTCTGCTGCAGAGACTGGCACGAGAGAGACCCTGAGATACATGGAGGGGCACTGAGCTCTCATGTCAGGAGCACGGAACTGCCG